GATTTCTATAAAGCAAACATATCAGTTCGTGTTGGTGTTGTCTGACTAACAATAGACCGATCGAAACTTACTGTGCTAGAACCGACTAATGAATGTTGACAAACTTTGCACGAGTCTTTCACCCAATACCATCATGGCTAAACTGACCAATCACTGTCAAAGGACCAGACTTTTAACACCATCGCCCTACAAACACTATTCACTTGACCCTGAAGATGACTTCCGCTCAGGATGTCGAAACGTCAGTCACCAACAACAGTTCTTTTCAGAACTACCCTCACCCGAACGATCACACAATCTTACGAATTATTTCTTCGCCTTGACAATACAACTTGTTGCCTCTTTTTTTTTTTGTTTGTTTTTACAGGAATCTGGTACACGATTCTTAAAGCTGTCACCAAGATCTCTGTGGTTGTGAATGTAAGAAATGTAACTCGAGTAACTGATCCATGTCTTCTCATGGTAACTCTTTTCGACAAAGGTTTTGAGCGAAAAATAACATATGAAAAAAGTGATATTGGTCATGATTTGTATCGATATGGCTTGAACATCATGGACCTAACTTGACTGTTTAGTCAATAGCGCGGATTTAAACTGAGTGCCGAAAAACCAAAATCAAAGCAATTACTTGGCCAGTCAAAAGAAACGCAGAGAACTGAACAAATCAAAGAGACAAACATAACCGGTTTGCGGGAAAACGCGCGAGAAAGTCACGATTGGTTTTGATTTTGTATTTGATTGATGAAATAAGTGGAACAAGTTGCTTAAACCAGTCATTGAGCATAGTAAAACAAATCAAAAGAAAATCCAGATTGCTCTTAAAACTCATGTAAACGGCTCCATGAAAACAGCCCCTTGAAAACAGTGCCGAGTTTTCTGGATACAAACAGGAAGTTTCTTCTGGCATTTACTATTTATTGATTATTAATAACGAATTCTTAAGGATAACAGTTAACAACTAACAAAAAGCGGTAGAGAATGAAACAAATTATAGTAGTTATCTTAAGATGCCTGTGTTACGTAGCAACTCACCCGACCTAGAAGCTTACAAATCGTCCAAAAGGCGTCTACCATCTGGTCGCTTATTGGAGACATGGCTCTTACTCAAAGTTAGATCAATACATAAATTACAAACCTGAAATGTCTTTTGTTACGAAAGATTCAAATTACTTAACAAATTGTTTTCAACTGGTGTTTCTGTTTTGGCAGGGCTTTGTGATTGCCTTTGTGTCGGAGTTTGTTCCTAGACTGTACTACACCTTGGGTGAGGGTCACGACAGTCTGGAAGGATTCGTGAACAGCACCTTGTCGTGTTTTGTCGTGACAGATTTTCCTGAAGACGAGAGACCCAGTGGAACGGATGCCGATGTACTTTTCAGAAATAACAGTTGTGGCTTTGGTCTGCCTACCTGCAGGTAGAGTATCCTGAGGCGATTTGATTTATATTTTTATAATAACTGCAGAAATTCTCGCGCTTTCATTGGCTAATTTGTTTTGTCAATGAGCGGACAGACACAAGAATTTATATTTTATGCGTTGTCCCTGCAGATCTGCGGATGCACTCGGCTATCGCCTGGTGGATTCACAGCTACTTTCACAATGTTATGACGAAATTCATGATCAATAAGAGGACAGACGCGTGAAAACCTGGCGCCAATTTGTTAACTGGCTTTCCAGTGTGATCACGAGTGATAAACTTGGAGAATTGACAATGAAGTTCGGTTGCAGAATTGGGTTCAAGCAGAATCAGAGACATCCCCAAATTCCAAGTTAATGTTTATGTAGGCTACCATGAACAATTCTATTTTACGTTGTTGTGAGACGCCTGTGATTGTATTTCAGATTTCGAGGCTATTACGAGCGGCCACTGCTAACGGTAGGAAACCAGACCTTTCCAAACCCTAGAACTTACCAGTTCTCCACAGCTTACTGGCACACTTTGGCAGCCAAACTGTTTTTTGTTGTGGCATTCTTGGTAATTACTTGATATCATCATTCATTAGATCAGTAATTAATTTATCCTTTGTCTTATTTTGAAGATTTTATAGCAACGAATTCAAGGTAGTTGAAATACGTCTAGTCGCTTACTGCTATGGTAAAGTCTGCATACGAGCCAATTGGGCCATGAGGCCGGGGCTTATCCAGGTTTCTATGACATGAAGCGGCTAGGAGTATTTCTACTCCCCCCTGGATGGGATGCTAGTCCATAGCACGGTTACCCTCAGCATTAAATTCGCCGGAAGCCATTTGTACACCTGGGTGGAGAGAGGCACTCTGAGAGTAAAATGTCTTGCCCAAGAGCACAACACAATGTCCCCGGCCAGGGCTCGAACCCGGACCGCTCGATCTGGATTCCATTACAATAACCACAGAGCCATTTTGTCGTACAGCAATGAAAAAAAAAAAATTACATAGGGCTTCTAGATTTTTTATTGCATCAAGTCACGCGAACAGACTTAAATTAAGATTGGAATGTACATGTATAATAAATGGAAGTCACAATCTTTCTTGGCTTCAAACAAAACACAATTAGAACGAAACATGAATGCGGCGTATCTAATTTGTTTTCTTGTCACTTTGAACAGCACATCGTGTTCGGCATGACGGCAATTTTGGCCTGGATTATCCCGGATATTCCAAAAGAAGTTGAAAACCAAGTCAAGAGGGAGAACTTTCTTGCCCGCGAAGCCTTGCGGTCTGCGGATCAATACGACTCAGGTTCTCCTGAACCTCCTGAAGACCAACGTGGGCAGAATGATATGCTATAGAACACATGGCTATGGCTGGAAGTATTTTGGGTTGAGTGGCTTTGGGCACTAGATGGGTGCATTGTTTTGACTTTGTACTTGCTTACCCTGATAATACAGTCGTAGAGTGTTTTAAAGGAGCTTAGTCACATTATTTTGAGTTATTTTGGCCACGTACAAAATTACCTTTAAATTGAAGGGAACCTGAAAATAACAGTTTACCAAGCTAGAAAAACGCCGAAGAGATAATAATACACCGTAAAGGAACAAGGATGGTTAAGGATGGAGAAGATTAACGCGGATTGCAAACGACGAACTT